AAAGAAATTAGATTAGGTTATGCAATTTATTAGGGTTTCCCAAGATTCCATCCCTTGTTTTGATCATCATGGAAGTGCTAAAGTAAATTATTTTTTTTATAATAAAGTTTCGTGATCGTTTTGTTCAATTGGGACAAGATCAAACGAAAGCATATCTAATCATGCGTGCGTCTACACGAAGCACAAAATTGAAATACGAGAACACATATTAGTTGTTCGATAATAATTGAAAATCGACAGCCAGATATGATTAATTTTTTACGGAGCATAGAAGAATGATTATTATTGGTAGAAGCAGGTGCGTTTAGCAAGATTCTAGTTGTGATCAATGGCTTTTCTTTTTTTTTTCATTGAATGAATTATGTAAATACTCCTTTTTATACCGCATCACGTGAATTTCCAGCTCAATCGAATCTTATAAGTTAATGTCCATTAAGGTAGGTTACTAGCCGACCTTACTTTCGTTATCAAACAAGCCCTGAGTTCGTGCGAGCGTAACGGGATTACTGCTCGCTTAATCTATGGGCTACCGATTAGAGAAAGCTGTGTGAACTAGATATGAAAAATTTCCACAGATGTCGTCACTCCAAGCACGAGCTCAAAACATGTTTCATGTTCGCTGACGTTTTGGACAGTGATGTCCAAGGTGTTGAGCACAATGTAACATGGTCAAAGGATGAATGTAGACGCGACACCATCCTCGTGCTAAATAGCACGCTCGCCATCGACCTAAAATGAACGTCAGTATTGACTTGAGAAAAGAACAATCTCCTTGTTACCTGCTAATTTGTTTCCCTTTAATCTATTGATCGGGCAGGCAATATCTGCACACATACTAGTTATCAATTGTTGTATTGTAGTTAAGTTTCGAGGGCAAAAGACACCAAAAACTCTAAACTATGCGCGCCGTATCCCAAACTTGTATTCAAGTGATACATTTACCCTCTGTCAAAGTTCCATCAATGAGCACCATTGAAAATCTACCTACATGGACATTGGAAAGCAGACGGAGTTGACATGGCACCCGCATGACTTAAGTGAAATAAAAAATAACGTTATTTTGGCTGAAAAATCATCTGATAGAGCCTTGACGGAGGGTCAATGTGTCACATAAGTACAAGTTTGAGGTTTTTTATGTCACAAGAAAAATTTTAAGGTGAATGTGTCACAGTAGGCATAGTTTAAGATTTTTTGTGTCGCAAAAAAAAGTTCACGATAAATGTGTTATAGTGGGCATGGTTTGGGGTTTTTGGTGGCTTTTTCCCAAGCTTTAGTTGCAATCACCCAATGCATCGAACCTTCAAACGATGTGATTTGATCGGAGTTTGATAAAATTTCAGACGAAATGTTGACCCTGTGGCGACTAGGAGGCAATGACCAAAAAATTGGCCATGTGTTTGTAATGTCCGTATTACATCGGATGATTGGCCAGATTTCGACCAAAGTGCATCAACTGCGAAGAAACAAAAGCTTAGTACATTGGGCATTTGAAAATCAAAGTTCAGCCATCAAACCGTGAAATCTACTAATATCTAATGACCTATTGATGAAAATTCACCCTTCCGTTTTTGTGTTGATCATCAATCAAAAGGCCCTTCCTTTCATTTTAGAGAGGAGCATGTACCACATACAACCATAAACACTTGTTGTTGACTATGTGCCATGTTCGAATCCACTGCGTGCAAATGCGATGGATCCTCGGCTCGCCGACAATGGAGCTCGAGCACATTGCACCCGCACACCACAAAGAAAGAAAGTCTCCGGGTTATGGCCCGCCGAGGATCTGCCGATGCTTAAGAAGAGAGAGAGAGAGAGAGAGAGACCCGCCGAGGATCCGCCGATTCTTAAGACGAGAGAGAGAGAGAGAGAGAGAGAGAGAGAGAGAGAGAGAGAGAGAGAGAGAGAGAGAGAGAGAGAGAGAGAGAGAGAGAGAGAGAGAGAGAGAGAGAGAGAGAGAGAGAGAGAGAGAGAGAGAGAGAGAGAGAGAGAGAGGGCACGGGCCTTAAACTTTTGGGCCTAGCCCCTCTAGAGAAGGCTTACTCATGATGGCCCTTTTCATGAGCCTACGTGGATATTGGGCTTTTTCATGACGAACGGACCTGATTAATTGCACCTATGTCAAATTTATTAAACGATTTTTCCTTTTTTTTTTCTTTTACAACGAGAGGAGTTGATAAGAAGTTATATTGGGGCAAAAGTTTATAGAAGTCGTAAGTCTTTTTATATGAAATACAACCGAGTTCTAAACTTTTCAGTTATTGCAATCGAGTCATATATACATTTTAAATTACAACTAACCGTCTTAATTTGCACATGTCAGTTTAAATTGTTTGATTTATGGTTCACGACTTGATTGCACTTTTTAGTTAGAGTGTAAGATTTAACTCAACCCATTGAAAGGTTGACGTCTCCATTACACGTCGTAGATAAGCTTTGAGACTCCTATTCGTACTTTTTCTCCCTTAATCATCAACAAATTAGGTGTGTCTATTGAAAAATTGAACGTGTTTGAGATAGTAGAGATTTAACAAGGATTGGGTGAAAATGGATTTGCTTTGATCACCTGGCTCTTTGTGCTGTACTAGTCAACAAGACTCTGCAATGGAACTCAATTCGAAATGTGAGATTTGAGCGGTAAATGGCATCCCCCTTCTTCTATCATTGAATCCACAACTACTAGCAGAGGACCAGGAAATTAGCCGACCCCGTACATCTGTAGCAGTCACAATGGTATTGTTGAAACTTGTTTGAACATGAATAACTCTCTTTGGTATCCTACGTGTACTTTTACATGAACCACTTTGGGCATTCCTGCGTGAACCGGTTGGGTCATGTGAGGTTGGCGTGGGAGAAGAATCACTTACATAATTGTGCTTGAAGAGTTTCGCAAGCTAATGGGAGTCGACTCTTGCAAATTTTGACATGATCGAGGTTGCTAGGGTTTTGCATGTCCTAACCTCAAGCGGGCGAAGAGACATCTTACGAGGACAGCGGTTCATGTTATGTTGTTGAGGATGGCAGTCGGCTTTTCGTTGTCCTGCGTGCTGAATACAGAAAAGTAAAGATCCATGTTGGGAAACATATTGCGGCCTGCTGTGTACAAGAAGAAGAGTCCACACAGTCCATACAGCTTATCAAAAGAGAGTTTGCTCCTCCTGAGGTCTCACGTACGGCAAGAGTCAGTTTATTCTTTGAACGTCTTCCTGTTGTAATCTTTCTGTTACACTCAGGTTGATGATCTGTTTCTTAGAAGAAGAGAGACCGGGCTGCAGATATGTAAGGCTGCGTAATCGTAGTACCAAGATGGCCATTGCCTCAAGAACCGACGACGACGTCCATCCACAGAGGTTGTTCATCCAGTTTCCGAATATCAACCAGTAGTTGGGCCCCAACCGCCAAAACCTAGCCCTTAGCCGTTACTTATTGAGAGTAGAGACTGATTAGTTAGCCAAATTGAGCAATAAAGAAGCACAGAGACAGCAGAAAATCAGCTTAGACAAAATTTAAACGAGAGAAAAACCCAGTGAAGTTTGTTAGATATACTACAGGACCGTCCCTTGGAGAAGCAGGGTACGTAACTAGCGACAGTGTCTACAAGGAGGAGGTAGTTTGCCATATCTTACAAGATCGGGTAGAGCAGAGCAACGGGATAGAGGGAAACTTTTCCAAGAAAGAACTTTACCTGAACCATTTGAAAAGGCTTATGTCGAGGGAGCAAAGCTTGGCAAGAGCTAAATGGGAGATGATGGATGTGCAGATATGCACAGCAAGGTATATACAAGATCAGAAGGATGAATGTACCATATAGATGTACTCTCCAGATGAATATATGCAAAATTCCAATTGTTTCGGGAAGGTTGCTACCATACAAGGAACAGAAGCAACTGTGCACAAAGCACAGCTGTGTCATTTTGTTACAAGGAAAAGCAAATTGGATGGAGAGGTCAATCGACCCTAACCCGCCATTCTTAGAAGCAAAGAGACGATGAATAACATATGAAGCAGAAAACGGCGGGTACAAAGGACCGTGGATTGAACGACAAGTAAAGAGAAGCGAAAATCATCAAGTAAATATACTGGCGATAAATGCAAGCTGACGAATGAATAACTGGACACGATGTCAACTCTCCACGAATATCATGACTCCTAATATGAATTCAATCACCAGAAGAGATTCAATCTCACGGCACGAAATACTTCAATCGACTATTTAGTAAGGGACCGACGTACTCTAAGGTCAAACTCAATGCTTGAGAACTTGTCCAGCCAAATGGTATACTGGAAGGCAATCCCTCTCTGCTCTGACTGCCATCAAAGGCAGAGATGATATTTCTCACAAAAATAGGGTTTCATGTCGACGAGATAACATCAATAAATATAGATGACCTCGTCAACTAAATTTATCTTAAGCTTTCATTAATTTCTTACCATCATGTAGACCGCAACAACACTACTCGAAAATTGGCCTGGTTCCAAGGTGTAGAATCTATGTTGAATCACAATTTAGCAGGGCCTACTATGCGATTCTTGTCTATAAATGAACATTTTGTCGAGCACACTTGGAGAGAGCGAGCTTCTCTTTTGTATTCTTCTCTCTGCGTGCTGACCTTTCCAAGTCAAAACAGAACAAGAGCAGATGACTCCGAAGGCAGCTATAGTCAGATGCAAATGACTTAGCTCAACGTGTTCTATACCCTCAAGATCCATATCCAATGCCGCTTCTCCAACTCATACGGCTTTCCTTTCCCATTGTCTAGAGAATCTAAGATCGAACCGATTCACCTCTCTAAGCTTCAGTAACTCATGATGCCCATCATAGCATCGAAGACTCAATCGCCATCCAACAACACGCCATTCACCACAACTATACATGCAGCATCAGATATGGAAATCAGTGATTATGAACCTCAGAAATCTTTAACTGGGACTCAGTCAAAATGAGAATGGCAAGCTAAGGACCAGCCTTTCCGATCTATCCCAAATAATCGGCACTCGAAAGCTACATTACAACAAATTAGACTGAATTATAACATCTATCCGAACAATGGAGGAGTCCAATTCAACCCGAACGCAAAAAAGATTCAACTGTTCAACCGATCACACGACTCTTCCGGCTAGTACTCTCCACAAAATCGAGTTTTTTCTTATTCAGCCATGCCTCTCTTTTGATAACTATCAAATACATCTCTCCCTTCTCCCTCTCCCTCTCCTCCTAGCAGACCAGCACAATTCCATTATCAACCATAAACTCAAAACGCCGCGAGCATCGAAAACTCTTATCTTACATTGCCCTTGATGATCTTCCTCCTGGCCAGAAACTTCGCCAGCGGGGGCGTGAGCATGATCGTGATCGGCGCCCTGACGGGGAACAGCGCCTTGTTGCACAGGATGGCCAGCGTCAGGGCGCCGCCGGTGGACGCGGCGAGCTCGGCCGTCCGGTTTCGCTTCTTCGCCTCCTCCCCGATCGCGCCCTCGGCCGAGCCCTCTTCGGCCACGAACCCGTCGCTCGGCGTCGAAGAAGGCGGCGGCGGCGGCGGCGATGAAGGGTCCTCTTCGGCGGAGACGCCGACGCCGGGCAGGTGGAGCTTGGCGAAGAGGGACTCGACGTCGGCGTTGTTCTTGATGGCGACGTAGAGGCCGGAGATGGAGGCGGCGGAGACGGAGAAGTGGACGCCGAGGGCCACCTTGCCGTACTTCTTCAGGAGCTCCTTGAACCTGCCGCTCAGCGACGCCATTGACGGATGGATGGATGGATGGATGGATGCAGAGCAGGGCGAGGTGGGCGGTGCGTGTTGGTGGGAGAGGGGTTTTTGGGGGGTTAGGGTTTTGGACTCTTCTGGTTTTCTAGGAGGTGGGGCGTTGAGCGCCCCCATACGACGTCGTTTTCGGGGAGATGGAAGCTCATGGCCTTGATGAGTTTTTAGATCCAAAAGAATAATCTTGAATAGAAGAAGTGCGATCGAGATCTCGGCATCGGAATCAGCACAAATAGGCATGCGATCCTGCGTGGTCGAGGAGGATGGGGATCCACCGAGGCATCCGGATCCGTAACGGTATCCCGATCCCCCTTTCCCGTGAACCGAATCTGGGGCCGGGAGGGGGAGAATGCCTTTCTGTCGAGGGGAACGTTTGCAGCTCCGATCGACTGCTTTGGATTGGAAGACCTTCCGCGCCTACCTCTCTTTGGGTTGCCTGCATGAAGGCTAGCCAAAGCAAGTCCGGTTCTCGTGCCTGCTTGTCGGACTTAATTAAAGCGGAACCGAGAGCTTCTCACTAAGAGAATCGTAAGCTTTGCTTAGATGTCGAATGTAACGAAAATTGGAAAATCGATTGATGATTGGTTGATCTACGGTTTCTAAATAGAGAGATTAGGGAAAGCAATGGCGAAAAAGTGTATAGCGGGCGTGTCTTGATTTACTTACCGATCTCTTTTGTCCTAATCCAGAATGGCTAAGTTCATAAAGGCGGAAACCTGATTAAAAATCGAGGAATCCGATACCCTCTTTTTTCTTTTTGCGGTTAGGCTTCAATAAAGAGGAAGCATGAAAACTACATATCTTCGCGGCTCCGATGTCTCTTAAACAAGCACTACTTCGGCCCGATCAAAAGTGATGTGTAAGCGTTCTGCGGAGAATTTCCAGTGACGAGACACTTAATCAAAGCGCTTTGCTCAATCTCACTTGATCGTATGTTCTATTTTGATTGATTGTTAGCGAAAGATATTTTTTTGATGCTAGATTTTTCGACGGCTCTGAAATATTCGAAACCATTGTTTTGTAGCAGTTTTCATATAAGTCATGACTACCATAAATTTGTAACGGTTTGTAATGTTTTTTGATTTGATGCAGGAATTGATGAAGTAAAAATAGCTCTCTTTTTCATTTACCTTATGTTACTCCGAGCATAATTTAAAAATATATATATCAAAACAAGAAAATTCTCTCCTCTCCTTCTATTTCTTTCTTTGCTGGGTTAGACATATACTTTTTTTCGTTCATGTTCCCTTTAATATTCTGTGCGGAATAAGGCCCCGTTTGGTTTAGTATTCCCAAGGGGCTTTTGGGCTTGAAAGCCCCTTGGGGAAATGCAAGAGCGTTTGACAAGAATTTCCAATAGACTATCGGCCGAAAGCTAGCATTGGGAATGCCCAAAGCTCAAAGCTGATCCGGACCAGCTTTGGGCTTTCAGCATTTGGCAAATGCTGAAACCAATTTTTTTCTTCCCAAACTGCCTTAACTTATTTTTTAATATTTCGATTTTGCCCCTTTGTTACTGTTCATCTTCTTTGCGCTCCGGCGAGAGCCAATGACATTGGATCCGGACGGCGAAGGGCCGACGAGGTCGCCTAACCCTAGGCGACGGCTGCCTGAGGTCACGCGACCTCCGGCAAGGGTCACGCGACCCAGGCGGCCATTGCCTGGGGCAGCGCGACCCTCGCCGGTGGTCACCCGACCTCAGGTGACGGCTACTGGCTCTAGATCTGGCTCGTCGGCGGCCATAGTCCTTCGCTAGCTCCGAGGAAGGGTAAGCTTTTATTTTTAATAAAAAAGAAAATCCCAAACCCTTTTGCAAAAAAAAAATTAGCCAAATACTACTTGGCCCGAAGTAGCTTGATAAAGATTTTTTTACTATACGCTATTTGCATTTCCCCAAGAGACTTTAATCTAAAGGTATTTGCATTTTTCCAAGGCTCTTTTGCAAATTAAACAAAACGGGCCCTAAAGAGGATGGTCTATTGAATCTTGTGAGGATAGTCGCTAGAGGCTGCTGTCACATCGAGTTTCATACTTCAAGGGGTAGAATGATCATTTGGGACGGTGCTTGCATGCCTCAGTCAATTGATTTTTTTTTTATCTCTACTTCAAATTATTCCAACAATCTTAACAAAAATTCTTATGAATTCCCAAGTTGCAACGACATCTCTCTCTCTCTTATTTAGCACAAGAGAAAATGCCTTTCAAGACACACGTAAAGATTGGAAGGGTCCCTCTCAATGGTAAAGAGTACGGCAAGCTCGTCGTGATCGTCCATGTTGTCGACTAGAACTAGGTATGCACACCTCCTCTTTCTCATCACAAGCTTGAAATAAACCCTTTTATTCACATGAATGTTTCCCTAAAATAATACTTACATTACATATAAGGCCCGGTTCTTTCAAAAATGTCCATTTTTTAACCAATCACCCTTAACAATGAGCACCGCACTTTCAGTTAAGTGGCTCAATTTTCACTAAGAATCGTAATAAAGAAGCACACTCTAACCGGCCCGAAATATCACTTCTTCGTGTCACTGCCATGTAATGTAACCGGAAGCTATTCGTGTAACAGGATTCCCTTTAAAGAGTAATTACGCAGAAGTGCTACACGCATAAGCGATCATTTCTTGTCATGAAAACATAGTTAGCACCTTAGATGCCAGAGATTTTGAAATTTTATCAAGTCTAAAATAGATCAAAACCAAAATGGACCAAAGAGTGAAATACATTGCCATGACACAGTGGTACTATTATTTTTCACCCACAAGCCTGGTGAAAGCCAAGAACTGTGAGGAGAGAAGCAGCTTTCTCACTTGAACATCCTATAATGTAAAGATTTTTTTTATCAAACGCTGGGAAGGCAGTGATAGTGAAATCAGAAGGGATGGTTGTGCAGGAGGTGGTAATGATGCTGATGACCATGGCAATTCCTGGCGCCGCCATTCTCCGCAGCTTTGCTCGGCCCTGGCCACCCGCCGGCGGGATTCCTTGTCAGCTCAAGCAGAGAGTCCTTCAGGAGATCGGCTTGCACCAGCTCGCTGTCCTTTTTCTGCAATTCAATCACGAAAAAGAGCCACTTTTTTCAAGCTAAATCATACCAAAAAAGAATAATCCAAATGCAATAAACAAATCTGGGTACACTATAATTGTCCTGTCTGGAGAGTAATGCACTGCATTTATGAAATTGAACCTCCTACAAATGATATGGTTCCTGAATGCCGTTACATTAAAAAATACCCGAAATACAACATTGTGGTCTATATGGGAAATTCGCTAATTGCTCCACAAGTTCAATATAGAGTCTTTGAATAAAGAGGGTGTTAGTATAGTTTATCTGATGTTCTAACTTTTCCTCTCATTCGGTATACTAAGAGTTCCAAGTATTTACTATGCTAGACATGCTTTTAGACAGTACCTCAACTGTGAAAACGTTGGAGACAAGGCTTAGGAATCTGGTAACATTTGCATTGGTCACTTCGAGGCCTATGGAGTCCAAAGCCTCCATTAATCTCACAAACCCACCAGGCCGGTGCTCCCCAAACACCTTGATGAAGAACTCGTTCTCGTCCATCTGCCGAACTTCCACCTGTGGCTGTGTGTTCGCAGTTTTAGCATTTTGCTGAAGCAGTTGAAAAAGAATCGGAGGGACTATCTAATGGAGTACCTCCATGCGTTGTTGCTTGTCATACGCAGTCTCTGACTCGCGGTTTCTCTTGGTGGATCCATCTCCTTGAGTGTTTCCCGGCAGCTGATAAGTAAATGCCGCTTTATCTGATGCTGACAGGAGCCCAATGTTGAAAACCTCGGGTTGGCCAACGGTGAAGTTGCTGCTGCTGCCGGAGTTCCTGGGGTCTTCCACATCCGATTGCTCTTCGAGCTCATCTTGGAGTTCCTTAGCTTGCTTCTGCAGCTCCATTATGTATTCAATTGCATCCCCAAGGATCGAAGCTCTATCCAGCTGTTTTGTCATGAGGAAGCAGTCAAATTGCACAATTTACAGGCAAGAATTCTGTGAAAATCGACATAATAGAGTTTGATCGCAGTTCGGATATTCCTAATGTCATGAATTAGCCCATCAAAGTATCTGAATCTCATTTAAAAAGTTGCTAAGTACTCTGTATGTAGGATGACAACATGCTGAGAAATTCAACTGGAATATAATTTCCAGTATGGCACAGCATATTACCTTGGAAATTTTTGGGACTAGCGAGCGAAGATTGTAGAGGCGGTCATTGAGCTTCTTCCTCCTCCTCCTCTCTGCTTGAAGGTTCTTTGAGTGAGGCTGCTTCCCGTTCCTCTCATCATCCTCCTCGTTCTGATCACTGCAATCAGATGTTGACTTCGTTGCGCCATTTTCCGGTTTGAGCTGTTCCTCATCATTCCCTTGCCACTCCGTGTTCACTTGTTCTGTAGGGACCACATTCAGTTGTTCCACTCCATCCGTCTCTTGAAATCCGTCTCCTGCTGACAGCTTGTTGAAAGGATTCATTTCCTCGTTACCTACAAAAGTGTCATACGATCCTCCGATGGTTGCCTCATACAGGTGGATTCCGTCACCGGAAGCATCGTGCAGGTTCAGATTTTCGGGCAGTTGTGCCGGCGAATTGATGTGGTCATTTGGGTCGATCAGCTGTGGCAGATCATTCAAAGCATTTGGTGTTATCGAGAAATTTGTCTCCATACAGACTGAGGATAGGGAATCGGCATCAAACGGAATGGAGAACTGGGATGTGATAAAGCCTATGATTTCTTGATCTTCTGGTACCTAAAGCGACAGAAACACATGAGGCGACATTTCAGGGAGAGATGAAACTCTGACAAGTTGATCAAGCCAAAAATCTATCGATCTTTCCACTAAGCGTAAACTCACAAGAACCGCTGTGACATTCAAATCACATACTTGTTTAGTGACAAAAAGCTCGATCAAACCTCCAGGAAATGGTATCAGAACCTTGGTCCCGATTGTATCCTGCAAAAGGACAGAAATTTCTTTGATCACCTTGCGATGAGACATCAATGTTCGAAAAACAAGCGAGATAAATAGACACAATGCAGTTTGATGGACATATCA